TTTCCCTTTGTGTTCATCATTTTGGTTAATTACTGGAAGATGGTGGTTCTGGCCAAAAGGAAGAACAATAATTGTCTTTTTGAAACCTCTGTTCTACTGCCACATTTCTTTAAATATGATTGTGTTGATACTAATGGGAACTTGGATAGAAGTTTTATTCTGAAATAATTTCTCTTTAATAATGTAAAAGAAAAATAATCAGCTTTTCATCTTAATTTCCACCTATACCCTACTTGCCTAACTACCCATTGAAAGCCATCTTCTTGAGATGTCTACCTTGAATTCATAGACGATATAATTACATCAGGTAACTTTAAACTTTAAAAACAAACAGAAACATGTTTAATAAAATGACCTGTGGTTTATAATTCCCTGATGAATATCATCCCTTTTTATTTAAAAAAAAATGTAAAAGATACATTTATATATCTATGAAGACATAAGTTATAAACTGTTGTGATAAGTGGTTGATGTATTTTGTATATTTCTGTATTGTTTGAAATTTTTGGTTAGGTAAGGTAGAATTAAAAGGAGTATGTAGTAATGCCTTAAGTAGAATTGGTATTGAAAAGTGTTATATCAAAAAGTAGGTTTTCTGGGAACCAGCAGTTAGCATAATGGCTATGTCGCTGGACTCCCACGTAGTCGACCGCAGTTCACGTCCTGGACCCGGTGGCTTAAAACTCACGCCGTGCGCGTGTGCGTGCGTGCCCAAGATCCCAAGAGGAGAATGGAGGAGAAGGGATTGCAGCGTGACCATCCCCCCTGGGGGGTGATTTCTCGCTTTCTGTCTCTATATCTCTGTCTGTCTGGCGAGCGCACGCGCCCTATAGCGAAAACCTCTCCAAAAAAAAAAAAAAAGTAGGTTTTCTGGGCCAGCAGGTGGCATGATGGATAGTTAAGGTGCTGGATTTTCTTCTGACTGACCATAGTTTGAGTCCTGGCCCTGATGACTTGAAAATCATGCCAGGTGCATATGTGTGCATGCCCAAAATCCCAAGATTAGAATGAAGGACAAAGGGTTGTCCCCTGGGGGAGTGATTTTTCACTTTCCCTCTCTCTGTTTCTTTTTCCCATGAGTGCATGTGCCCTGTGGCAAAAACCTAAAAAGAAAAAAAAAAAAATAGGTTTTCCAAGCCCTGAGAAAAGACCACATTATTTGATTACTTTTATGTTGGATAGAATGTATTCATGTAGTACATAATGATGTATTGGGTCCTAGCTTTCTAATATTCAAGTGAATTAACTGAATCATAAGGAAGACAAATAGTATATAGTTGAGTGAAAAGATTGAAGGTATGAAAAAGTAAACTAATTCTACTATCTAGCACTACCTTAATTTTTTAGTATGTTAATTATTTAATGTGATTCTTGCAAAGGCCAAAAAAGAATTCTGGTAGAAATATACAATTTGCATTCCATTTTCTGTGTGCCCATAAATTCTTGGATATTGCAACATATGTAACATAACCCACATGTCAGCTGTTTCCTGCCTCAGTGTTGACAAGAGCCCCATTCATAACTCTTCTTTTTATCCTTTCAGTGAATAAGTAATTATTCAATATAGAAGGCAGGATATTTGGAACTGGCTATTTAATGTGGCAGCACTCTGTAATGAAATCTGCTGTTACTGGCAACCTGAGAGGGGAATGTAACAATTCCAGCATGGTTGTAACCTTATCTGCTTTGACTGACTGTTTACTTGGCACATCAGTGAACCTTTTATCCCAGTGAGTGACAGCTCCAGAAGGGTCACATTTACATCCATTCTATCATGTATTGTAATATTTAATGGCGGACAAGGTTGAACGAGACTGGGAGTAATTTGAACTTGCTTTTCCACTGAGTCGAGGCTAAAAGACAGCTTGATCCGCAGTATTGTGGTGTAACATGCTATGACTTAGCCGTTGTTTATGAAGGCTAATCTTACTGATTACAATTTAAAAATAGAAAAAAAAATAACTTCAGTCAAGTAGGGTGTTTGTTCTATTAAATTAAAACTCTTTGAGTACAGTTTTTTTTTATTACTGAGCTATTTACCATTTTCCCCCACCAACTACTTCTTCTCTAAAGTAAATCATGTCATAATAGTTCTCTTAAGCTGTATTCTATTTCATTTGGTGTGGTAATTGTGGCTTACAGTAGTTATTAAGAACCTGTGAGTTCTAATACATAGCATTACATTTTCTTTGTTTGTTTTCAAGAATTTAGAAAATAGGAATTTAAAAATATTAGACTATATTTCTGATGTTTCATATGGTGTGTTTAAGGAGATATTTATAAAACTATTTCAGTTATGAAACTGAATTATGAGTGAAATTGTCCAGAAAAAGCTATCCTGGATAAGTTTACTGATGATTTTGCATTCCGTGATAGGAAATTTAATTTCAAATATACTTGTTCCACACAAGCAACCTGCCTTCATTATTAAATATTAACATTTTGCATTTATTTTCATACCTTGACAGGAGAAGAAATTTCTGTTCTTTACTCATTTTTTAGTGCTATTTTAGATTCACCTTGATATTTCTATTCTTTTATAAACTATATTTGAATGCTTATTTTAAAACGTTGATATATCTTATAGGATATTTGAGTTAAACTGTGAATGAAACTAGTTTTATAGCTCTAAATTATAATATCACAAGTTCACATGAAGCCTAACCAAAAATTAAAATTGCCCTCTACTTTGTCTTATCGTTCTTATCATTTATGAAAGAAGAGGATTAAAATATACTTAAAACATTTGGAATTGGAGAGTTAGCAGGATATGTTAGAAAGAATAGAAATACAGAAATGTCATTTATCAGTTTCCAAATGAGAAGAACCAATTTTAAATGGAATTTGTCATTTTTTCTTTAATGGCAAGTTTATATATTTAAAATATTTTGAAATTTCTTTTTATTTAACTTATAATTTATCACCTATAGGTTCTTATTCCATAAGAGGTTTGATAACATTTTTTATGTTAGTCCAATAGTTTTCTTTGTTTTGTTACAGTCGCCTGGTCACTGTTCTCTGTGCTGTTGTTCCACTAAACAACGAAACAGTCAAGAGTCTTCAAGTACCAGTAAGAAGGATCCTGGGGGGAAATCTAAGATACCCAAAATATATTTTGGGACTCGCACACACAAGCAGATTGCTCAGATTACCAGAGAGCTCCGGAGGACAGCATACTCAGGGGTCCCAATGACTATTCTATCCAGCAGGGATCATACTTGTGTCCATCCTGAAGTAGTCGGTAACTTCAACAGAAATGAAAAGTGTATGGAATTGCTGGATGGAAAAGATGTGAGTAAAAGTATATCGTTTTAGAGAAACAATAAGGTGAAATGATACTAATTACTATGTATATGTTTCATATGAACATTTTAGTAATAATCATATAACTTATGAAAATAAAATTATTTGTGTTGATATTTTTTGAAAATAATTTTACCATGAGAAAAATCTTTATTCAAGTTTAAAGTATGGTTTAAGTCCTAAAGTTGGGGAATATTTATTTCTTCTAAATAATTTCCATGGTCATTAGATGTCTTCTTACTATCTTTTTTTAAATACTTATATCAAAAGTAATCAAGTGTGGATGATGCCATAAGAATAAATAACGTAGTTAAATTATCTAGTCTAACTAGACCTAATTATTTAAAAGCTACAAAATTTGAAGATAGTTTATTTAGGTTCTCTGAGCAAATTTTGAAATTTAAAAAAAATTGAGAAATAAAATGACTATCTTGTCTTATGATTCTGGTTACACAATTTTAATTTAAAAATTATATTAAATGGTTAACTTTAGAATGTTATTAGTGGTTTTGAAATTTTCCAAAATAAACTAGAATCATTTGAATATAGGCTATGTGGAAATAGAGACGTCTTTCTTTTTAAAGACTTGTATGATTTTATTAATTTTCTTTGGCAGTATTAGTTTAAGTCTGTGTTCTCATATTTTAAGTCATTTACTCTAAAATTGAAGTTATGAGTATGAAATTATACCCATAAATTGATGGTATATGAAGTGATCAATGATATTTTAATATATTTTTAAAATTATTTTTTCTGTCATTAGTATTTTATCAGATTTTCTTCTACATAAAAGACTATAAACTATAGCCCCTACAGTTTCATTTAATTGATATATCACCTCCTACCGTAAAATACAAATAAATGATTTTGCACTATACTTTTTATTTTATAATAAACTCTTTTATTAGATAACAATTTATTTAAACTTTATTTAGGGATATTCAAAAGATGCTTTAAAAATATTCAAACATTATGAGATTATAAAGTATAAGTAGTAAGTAAAGGAGTCCAGTGGAAAAACTTGAGTGACTTGTTCAGAGCCAGAAAGATAACATAGAATTATTGAATTGAAATCATTGTTGAAATTCTACAGTCATATGTATTTCTACATAAGTTCTTTCTAACTCACTGAAGAATTGTGAAACTTCAGTCTATATATTTAAAAAATTCTCTTTAAGCAGAGATGAAAAATTAAAAAGCCAAAATGCTAAAGAAATAATAAAGCAAAAGTTCTTCATAGTAAAACTCATTACATGCTTAATTAGACTTCTTTCTGTAAAAAGCTAACTGATGTGCTGAATTCCTCAAATGCTTGTAATTTAATTTTTGTCCATAGTCTATACAAGAAGACTTGCTTGCATTAACATTATATTTTTATCGCTTTTTTACTTATTATTGGGAAAATTATTATGTACTTGTAAAAAATGTATTCATTAGTAAAATACATTGGTAAAAGCAATAATAAGTTCAAGATTAGATATTAAAAACAAATAGTCTTATGTAATCTTCTAGAATCCTGCAATGTTGATTATGTTTTTGGATTGATCTCTAACTCTTAAATTTGAACCTTATGAAAATGAAAAGCAATTTAATAGACTTCAATATTCAGAATTTTTTATTGACCTTCATGTAAGCAAGTTTTTTTGTTTTTTAATGATAACATTACAAATAATTACAGACATACACTTACGGTTTGACTTGACCAAATTCTGCCTCAGAATACTTTACCTCATAGGCATACATAAACATTCTTCTTCTTCTTTTTTTTTTTTTTTTTAAGTTCCAAGCCCTCAAAGTAATTTGGTATTGTAATGAGGGCTAATTACAAAGTCATCATTGGTGTCTATGTTTACTAGGGCTGAATTACCAAAGTGAAATGATAAATAGATAGCCAACAGTTGGATGAAAAGAGTTTAAAGTGTGATAATGCTTCAATTGACAGACTCCCCTCAGGGTTGTGTTACACTGGTAAAATAGATGAGCTTTTCTGGTTTTGATATCAAACCTGTACAGAGTTGTCATTCTAAGTGCCCTTAAAGTGTAAACTTTCTGATTTTTTGGCTTGATCTAATGGCACATGTGTTTTTTGTTCAATTTCTTTTACTTAACTGCTATGATATTAGCGTGCACTTATTTGTTAAAAGTTAAATTTTGTTTCAATTAAAAAATAATTTTAACTAGAGCAAGAAATGACAATTAACAGTTTTAGAATATCTTTTTTCTTTTTTTAAATAATAACTATTTTATCATTTATTTATTCATTCATTGATTTTTAATTTGACCAGAGAGAGACAGAGGGTGAGAGTGAGAGAGAGAGGAAGTGAGAAAGCAAGCCACCAGGTCCAGGACTCGAACCCTGGTCGGCTGTGTGGGAGTGTCCAGCGCCTTAACCACCACGCCACCTGCTGGTCCCAAGAATATTTTTTTCCGTCAGAATGAGACTTAGCAATTTACAGTCATAAACTCTGAAGGCATCTTAATGACAGCTTTCAGAATTATACAGAAGATGCTTAGAATGAAGAAATGGTAAATGTAGGACCAGCAGTTAGCGTAATGACTATGTCGCTGGACTCCCAGGTAGCTGACTGTGGCTCGAGTCCTGGACCTGGTGGCTTAAACTCATGCTGGACGTGTGTGAGTGCGCGCCCAAGATCCAGAGAGGAGAATGGAGAAGAAGGGATTGCGGTGTGGCCATCCCCCCTGGGGGGTGATTTCTCGCTTTCTGTCTCTGTCTCTCTCTGTCTTTCTGGCGAGCGCACGCGCCCTGTAGCAAAAACCTCTTCAAAAAAAAAAAAAAAAAGAAGAAGAAATGGTAAATGTCATCTTATTAAACTCATCTATGTCAAACTTAGTATGAAAGATAGTTGGCTTATCTCCGTCTGTCCTGGAGTGTAGAATTACAGAATTTTAGTGCTGGAAGGAACCTCAAAGGTGATATAGTCAGTGATTCAGCAGCAATCCTAAAATGGTTCTGTTTGAATGGCTCTTTTGATGCTTAGGCATGTAAGAAAATGGAACCTAAAGTTTGCCCTGTCATGTAAGTAATTAGCAAGAAAGGAAGACCTAGAATCCATGTTTTCTAACTCCTAGTCTATTGCTGTTTTGGTTATACTAGAAACAAAAACAGAAGATGGCATTAAGGTATGGGGAAGTTGATACCATATAGAGTTAAAAAAAAAAAGAATAGTACAGATTAGACAAAGTAATTGAAAATAATATAGAATATGACCTATAGTTAGGTGAGCCTTTTTCCCTCCTAATTTTTATTTGTATTTCTTTCCTTACTGTGGTTAAATAAAAAAGTGTTAGGAGAACTAGTCTTCAGTTGTTAATATCTTGCTCTTTGATTTGCTCACATTTTTTCTTTCTATATTACAGAGGGTGTATGTGTGTGTGTGTGTGAGCTCACCAGAGAGACAGAAATAGAAAGAATACCTTGCTTTCCACTGTGGCATGATCACACTGCAATCACTTCTCCATTTCTCCATCCAGTCAGGATTTGGGGCACATACACATGCTCACCTGGCATATTTTTAAAGCCCCTAGAACTAGGATTTGAAACCTTCTTGGCCATGTGGCTCCCTTAACCACTAGACTATGAGCCAGCCCTGATTTGCTGACATTCTTTTATAGGTTATGAACCTTTATGATTTACTCTGTTTCTAGCAATTTCTAGGTATTGGTGTATGTAATGATGATGTGTATGTATTTTGAAAATAGATTTTTCTTTTGACTAGTTCCCAGATATAAAAATATAAATACTATATATGATATACATTATTATATATATTTTTTCAACTTACTAGGGGTAACACACTGGGAATGAAAAATAATTTATTTATTTATTTATGTTTGCCAGGAGGTGCACGTGCTTGCCAGAGAGCGAAAGTGAAAGAGAAAGGAAAGGAAAAGAGCACCCCTGATGGAGCGTGGTCATATTGCAATCCCTTCTCCATTTCTCTAGATTTTGAGCTTGTCAAGATATTGAACTTACAGGGACCAGCAGTTAGCATAATGGCTGTGTCGCTGGACTCCCACATAGTTGACTGCAGTTCAAGTCCTGGACCCGGTGGCTTAAACTCACACCGGGCATGTGTGCATGCGTGCCCAAGATCCCAAGAGGAGAATGGAGGAGAAGGGATTGCGGCGTGGCCATCCCCCCTGGGGGTGATTTCTCGCTTTCTGTCTCTCTGTCTCTTTCTGTCTGTCTGGCGAGTGCACACGCCCTATAGCAAAAACAAACAAACAAACAAACAAAACTCTCCAAAAAAAGAAAAAAAAAAGATTTTGAGCTTACATGCATACATGCGTAGTGTGTTTTTTCAAGCTAGTAGGGCCAGGATTTGCAGTGTAGTTTGACCATGTGTGATCTGATTTTCTTAATTGGTAAATAGAATAAATGAAAATTAAAATGGGGGGGATCAGCAGATGGCATAATGGTTACGTCAGTGGACTCCAATGTTGGTAGACCCAGTGGCTTAAAACTCATGCCAGATGTGTGTGCTTGCATGCTCAAAGTCCCTAAAGAAGAATGGAGGAGAAGGGATTGTTGCGTGGCCATGTCTCCTGGGATGTGATTTCTTTCTCTCTGTCTCCCTGGCAAGCATACAGCAAAAATCTCCCTTAAAAAAAAAAAAAAAAAAAAAAAGCTCATTATTCTACCAGTTAGTTCCAAATGACATTTGGAAGTAAAAATACATGTACTGAGTTAGAAGATTTAAAGTTACAGGCGTGCATAAAATAAAGATAAACTGTCTTTCTAATTCTTTCCATCTCCTTACCCCTTCAAAGAAACTACTGTAAAGTTTTATGTGTATTCTACCAGGACATTTAAGACATGTATTTCTTGTAACATGTGCATATATTCTATAAGAAAATAACTTACACAAAGTTAACCATTATTTTTTTATTAAGAATTATTTATTTATTTATTTCCATTTGTTTTATTATTGTTATTTTTTTTTTTCTTTATTTGACGAGAGAGAGAGAGAGAGAAAGGGAGAGGGAAAGGGAAAGTGAGAAAGCAAGCCACCAGGTCCAGGACTTGAACCATTGTTGACCATGTGGGAATCCAGCTCTCTTATCTACTATACCACCTGCTGGCCCCACAAAGTTAACCATTCTATACATATTGTTCAATATCTATTTTTGTCACTTCACATATTTTTACATATTTCAGCCTAACACATCAGCACACAGACAATTAACTCATTTTAAGAGGTGTAGTTTTTGTCTGAATTTGCCATCATTTATTTAACGTATCTCATATGGATAGACATTTGGTTATTTTCATTTTTTTGTCTATTAATCAGTACAGTACACATGTATTCAGAATAAAAGGAAACTTTTAAATTTGGAAAGTTTTGGACAAGTTGTATACTTCTTTCTACTAGCAGTTTATACTACTAAAAGTATGTATTTCTAATTCTATACGCTCAGACTAGGCTTTATCATACATCTTATTCCATTATTAATGCATATAGTACAATGTTTTATTTCTAGTAATAGAATAGTGAAGGACATTAGTAAATAACATAAGAGAAGAAATAAAAATTATTGTTAAAACTTCTTAGAATGTTCATTAGAAACTATGAAACGTACAAATCAAGAAGATTCTGTTTTTTTACCTTTTTTAAGTTTAGGTTTTTTTTCACTGTAGGACATTTTGCTTGCAAAAGACAGAGAGAGAGAGAGTGGGAAAGTGAGAAATCACCTCCCAGGAGGGGAGATGGCCCCACCATGGTGTGTTCTCCATTTTCCTCTTGGGATCTTGGCCATGCATGCACATGTGCCTGGTGTGATTTTTCAAGCTGCTAGTCTGGGACTCAACCCCCACAGTACGCCATGTGGGATCCAGTGCCTTAACTTCCATGCCACCTACTGGCCCCTAGTTTTTCATCTTTAAAATAGACAAAGATGAAAAGAAAAGATAATACTGGGCCAGCTAGGTGGCAAAGTGGTTAAGGTGGCTGGATCTCACATAGCCAACTGCATGGTTTTGAGTCACAGAGCCTGAGTTTTGAAAAATATGCCAGGACGGGGCCTACAAGTGCTGTGGTGGTTAAAGGTGCTGTAGTCCCACATGGCTGACCATGGTTCGAGTCCTGGACCTGGCGGCTTCCTTTCTTGTTCCCTTTCTGGCTCTCTGTGGTCAAAATTAAAAAAAAAAAAAAAAAAACCCCGAAGGAATTAAATAAATAAATAGATAATTCTTAAAAAAGAAATAAGATAAACATGCTGGGAGCCAGGAGTATGTACTTGTGTGTCCAAAATTCTTGAGAGAATAGAGAAGAGATTGCAGTGTGGCCATCCCCTGTGACGAGGGTTGTCTTCTCACTTTCCCTCTCTTTCTCTCTGGCAAGCACACGCACCAATAGCAAATTAAAAAGAAAAAAAATAGTTGATGCTAGTGTCATGTGAAATAAAGGTGATATAAAATGGCATATGCTTTCTGGAGGATATTTTGATAATATATTTACAAGAAGATTAAAAATACTTCATGGTCTTTGATCCCATATACATTAAGAAAATATTTAGAAATGTGCATAATAACGTTTACTGCAAGACTGTTTCCATAGAACAGTGGTTAGCAGAGGAAACCAGATCCCATGAATCTGACATGGGTTTGAATCCTGACTGGTGGCATTACACCACATGCACACCTGGGATCCTGACACGATGGAGAATTGGCAGTAGAAGGATTGCAGGATTACTGATTACTGGAGGGGGGCATGCTCGCTCTCTTTTGCGTGGACACATTTTATCATGAATAAAAGAAAACATATTTCTAAAAAAGGAATATTTACTGCATCATTACCTATAAAACAGAAATTGGTCACAGTCTAATGGCTCATCAGCTATGGCATGTTAATTTAATGTCCACTTAGAAGGAAACTTTGAAAAAGATTGTAAGAAAAACAGAGTTGAAGTATAAATTTATTTTGGTGCAAAAAGTTTTTGAAGTCCATATAATTTGTTCATAATAAGCATTTCCATGAACTTTTTGAAGACTCATTATATGAGCAGCAGTGAAAAAGTATCTAGTGACATGAGATTTTCTTGATAGATTTTTTTTTTTTAAAGAGGTTTTTGCTGTAAGACACGGAGAGAGAGAGAGACATACAGACAGGTAGACATACAGACTCACTGACAGGGAAAGTGAGAAATCACCCCCCCAGTGAAGATAGCCACACTGTGATCTCTTCTACATTCTCCTCTTGGGATCTTGGGCACACACGCACACGTTCCTGGTGTGATTTTCAAGCTGCTGGGCCCAGGCCTTAAACTAGGCCATGTGGGAGTCCAGCAATGTAACCACTACACCATCTGTTGGTCCTTTTGATATGATTTTTAATAAAATAAGCAGAGGAGAAAAAGGTGAATCCATTTTTATAAAAAATGTTTATTTATTGTGGCTAGATGATTAATAATCCTCTGTGTCTGGGGAAAATTTGCATTGTTCTTGTTATTTTAAAATTTAGTCACACTGTAAAGATATATCCTTAGATACATATGTGTAGAAGAAATATGAAACAAAATGCATCAAAATGTTAATAGTACATTCTTTGTGTGATGGCATTAAAGATAATATAGTGGTTTTTTGAGGGGGGTCTTTTCTGAATTTTTGTGGTGATACTTTATTTTTTCTCCCATGTCATCCCAACCTTCCTTCTTTAATTTCTTTTTAATTTTATTTGAATAAATAATACCATTATGGCTCAAAATTGTGAGCTTTTGAGAGGTGAACTTTATATTTACATATATGTGCCTGTTTCTTAGAGATACCCAGTTGTAACAGAAGTCCTAATCTCAAAAAGATCTATAGAGAAAAATTTCTCCCATTTCTATGCTCACATCACTTATTTCACATTTTGAGAATAACCAGTGATACTATTGTTCTAATATCCTTCCAGAAATATTTAATGCCTAATATCACTTTCATCAGAATGTACCACAGCAGATGTTTTAATAGTATTTTTCTTAAATTAATTTGGAATATCCCAAGCTCTACTGATCTAGAGGTCTGAGTCTTAATCAACTACTTTAGTTTCTTTGAAATGATTGTTATTATTGCAATGGCTTACTATGTCTTTTCTGGAAAATCTTAGCCTTGTGGCTTCAGTGACATTCCTAAAATTTTGAGTTAAACTCGTTTTATTCATTTTATTCCAGTATTGCTGCATATTCCAATATTGCTACGTATATTTGTTTTTAGGGGAAATCCTGCTATTTCTATCATGGTGTTCATAAAATCAGTGATCAACACACGTTACAGACTCTCCAAGGAATGTGCAAAGCCTGGGATATAGAAGAACTTGTTAATTTGGGGAAAAAACTAAAGGCTTGTCCATATTATACAGCCCGAGAACTAATAGAAGATGCGGACATAATATTTTGTCCCTACAACTATCTTCTAGATGCCCAAATAAGGGAAAGTGTGAGTAAATATATATATAAAAATCATAACAACTTTTGTTCCTACTTGAGATATAAATGTTGACTATAAAGCTTTTAGATGTTTCATTGTCTTTATGTAAATAAATTTATATAAACATATTAGAGTACTGAAAACATATGGTATAATGTTTTAAAAAATGAATTTTAGACCTAGTCATTTTATTTTTAAATTTGTTATGGGGCACATGTATTCACTGGAGAGAGAGGGAAAGAAAGTAAGAAAATACCCCCCAGGAGGGATGACCACTCAGCACTCCTTTTTCCTCCATTCTCCTCTCAGGATTTTGGACATGTATGCAGATGTACCCAGGGTGTTTTCCAAGATGCTGAGTCTGGGACTAGAACCACACAGTTGCCCAAGTGGGATCTTGCTGCCTTGACCACCGTGCCGCTGGCTGACCCAAGACCTAGGCATTTTAATTTCCAAAATCATAAGCATTTTAAGGTCTTAGTGACGGAAGTGGGATTTTAGTAGGATTTCTCAACCTTGGCAGGAATAACACTTTGCATTGGATAACTCATGGTTGTGGTAGGCTGCCTCGTGCCATTGGGTTGTTTAGTAGCATCCCTGGTTTTATCTGCTAAATGCCAGTAGCACCTTAAGAGTTGTGATTATGGCAAATGTCTCCAAACATTGCCAAATGTCTGATTGGGGACAAAGTTTTTCCCATTTGAGGACCATTTGTAGCCACTATTCTTTCCATTTCTAAATACTAACATATAATTATCTAAAAACATTTCTCTAAGAAAATTGTGTTTTAAAGAACTTATATTGGAAGAATATATGTAATATGCGAATTATGCTTTATGAGCTTTTTTAAAACTTTTACTTTTTGGAGAGGTTTTTGCTATAGGGCGCGTGTGCTTGCCAGAAGGACAGAGACAGAGAGACAGCGAGAAATCACCCCCAAGGGTGATAGCCATCCCACAATCCCTTCTCTTCCATTCTCCTCTTGGGATCTTGGGCACTCATGCACACATGCCTGGCTTGAGTTCAAACCACTGAGTCTGGGACTCAAACCGCTGTTGACTATATGGCAACATAGCCATTATGCTAACTGCTAGTCCCTGCTTTGTGAGCTTTTGAGAGGTGAACTTTATATTTGCATATATTTGCCTGTTTCTTAGAGATACTCAGTTGTGACAAAAGTCCTAACCTCAAAAACTTAAGGGGCCAGCAAGGTGGTGTAGTGGTTAAGGTGTTGGACTCTCACATGGCTAACTGCAGTTTGAGTCTCAAGACACAAAGACTTGAGACTCATGCTGGGTGTGTATGAGTGCATTGGCAGAATCTTGAGAGGAGAATGGAGGAGAGGGGATTGTAGCATGGCCATCCCCCCTGGGGTGTGTGTGTGTGTGTGTGTGTGATTTCTCAATTTCTCTATCTCTGTCTCTGCCTCTCCAGTTAGTACACTTACTCTATAGTAGAAATCTCTCTTTTAAAAAATAGCTTAAGAGAAAATACTTAACTCATCATTGTGGTGACTTTATTCTCAGGCAGGCTCTTTCTCTTGTGGGAACAAAGATAACTCTAAACAGCTAGCTAACCTAGAGAAAAGAACATGATCTCATATTGAACCCCCCCTCCCCGCCCCCATTACTCTGATTGGCCTAGCTTAGATCCCGCATTCATTCTTTAATCTGAACCAGTCACTGTGTTCACAGAATGATGGAACTCTTTACTTAACTGAAGAGCCTTGGGCTATAAGCCCAAGGCTTATAGCCTTACCCCTTTTGTGAGAGTAGTGATGACCTTTGACTGACAGATCGGTAGTCCTACCAGGCTCACATGGGAGTTGGGGAAGAACAATTCTTAAAATGTAGAATTGCAGGAAAGAATACAACAAAACATATCTACTACGTTATTGTATTTGGAGAGTCATTTGAATCTTGTGGTGTTATTTTACTTTTGAACGATTTATACCGTTCTTAAAATTATGTTGGAAATGACTTCAGAGTAGGATTTTTATACTCTTCTGTATAGCCAGTGGTATCTTGACCCAGGCACACTTAACAAAAAGTTTTTTTTTGATAGATTTGCAAACTATTTTGAGAGTGAAAAATGGCAAATTATAATGTAGAGCTGATATTTGGTTAGACTTAGCACTTTAGAAGTTTTATTTAAAATCTAAAATGGATTAGCAATATTGGCTTGTATTGTGAATTTTTTTGAGTGAAATATCTTGCATGTTGCTGTTAAATCCATTTTGCTGAATGTTTTACAGAAAAATTCTTTTACCTTATAGATGGATATAAATCTGAAGGAACAGGTTGTCATTTTAGATGAAGCTCATAACATTGAGGATTGTGCCCGGGAATCAGCAAGTTACAGTGTAACAGAAGTTCAGCTTCGATTTGCTCGAGATGAACTAGATAGTTTGGTCAACAGTAATATAAGGAAGAAAGACCATGAACCCCTACGAGCTGTGTGCTATAGCCTCATTAAGTAAGAACATTTGTGTATCAGTCTATTTGTGCTGCTTTTGTATTGAAAGTTATGTTTCATTATGCCAGAGTATTTTAAAGTAAGTAAACCTGGATTAACCAGACTATTTGGGAAATTAGCTATTCCTTAACAGTTAAAACTTTTTTTGAAGAATTGTTTATTAAATTAATTTATCATTATTATTATTTGAGAGAAAGTGAGAAAGCAAGTCACTAGATCTGGGACTCAAACCATAGTTGGCCATGTGGGAGTTCAGCACCTCAAACACCATGCTACCTGCAGGCCCCTCCAGTTAAACTTTTAACAAAAGCTAATCCAACCTTTGTTTTGTTGAAAACAATATAATGAACAATTCATTTTTAAGAAATAATAATTCTGAATCTTACTCTTAATTTAGCAGGATAATTTAATAGCCCTGTAAGATGTGTATAGGACATTGAACAGAAACTAAACATGGTTTTATTAACATTTTCAAAAATTCTGGAACATAGCTTTATGTTGTTATTTGATCCTCCAGTTTATGTGAGATTCTACTTTTATGTTTGTTTGTAGTTTCACTGTGGTGCATGTGTGCTCAATGGAGAGGGGTGTGGAGTGAGAAAGCACTCTCCAGGGAGGAATGGCCATGTTGCTATCTCTTCTCCTCCATTCTTCTCTTGGGATTTTGGGCATCCATGCACACGTGCTTGGTATGGTATGTTTTTTGTTTTGTTTAGTGTTTTTTTTTTTTTTTTTTTTTTTAAGGTTTTTGCCATAGGGCGCATGTTCTTGCTGAAGAGAGTCAGAAAGGAGGAGAAATTACCCCTCTGGGGGAATGGCCACGCTACAGTCACTTCCCTTTCATCCTCTTCTCAGGATTTTGGTACTGCACATATACGCACTCAAAGTGATTTTCAAGCTGCCGGGTCTGGGGCCTGAAACATGGTCATCTATGAAGGAATTCAGCACCTTAACCATCATGCTACCTGTTGGCCCCCCCAGGTGTTTTTCAGGCTGCTTTGAATTATGTTTGGCCACGTAGGATCCAGCCTCCTTAACTAATCAAGATGTCAGTACTCTAATAGATTTAATACTAATTTTACTAAAATTTATATTTCTGTTTTAGTAGACATTAGATTGTTGATCTTGAAACTCATATTTTAACTGGTTTAATTAATATATTTAATGCTAATTTATTTAAATTTATATTAGATAATTTCCCTTTAATAAAGTTGTTGATTTTGAATCTCATCTTAGGAAAAAGAACCTCTGTGATTCTATAGCCTATTTCCATTTATTGTAACATTTTTCTGTTTCCTTTATAGTATACTTCTAAAAACTTTGACTGTATATAGTCACATGATTTGAACATAAAATATCACAGATTTATACAGTGAAAACCTGTCTCACACCTCCTCTGCTTAATTCTTACTCTCCTAAACAAGTTTTTCATTGAGTACATATTTATGCATGTACAAGCCAATATAGATATATTCTGGTAACCTACAGTTTTTTTTCAAATGATAGCGTACTATGCAAACATTTTTATGCATCTTGCTTTTTTTCACCCCACAATATATTTCGTATTTCTCTTTCTATATCTAGACCTACAAAGCATTCATATATTTCGTATTTCTCTTTCTATATCTAGAAATACAAAGCTTTATTAGTTTTAAAAATTAGTTGCCTAGAATTGACTCTACTAGGTAGATATTATACAATAATTTATCTAAGTAGCCTTTCATTAATAGAGGGGTTGTTTCCAGTCTTTTGCTCTCCTATTGTTGTAATGAATAACTTTGAACATACATATTTGTTTGTATGCAAGATTATCTGTAGGAAGATTCTTACAATTGAAATGATTGGGTCAAAACATAGATCTATTTTGTAATTTTTATAAATATTGCTAAAATTTTCACAATAGAAGTGCTGGCAGATGGCATGGTGGTTGAAGGTGCTGGACTCCCACATGACTGACTGGTTCGAGTTCCAGACCTGGCAGCTTGCTTTCTCACTCTTTTTCTCTTTCTTTCTCTTGCTTGCTCCCTCTCTCTTGCTCTGTCCCTCTGTGGTCAAATTAAATAAATAAATGAATAATGTTAAATATTCTAAAAATAATTTATACAATAGATGGATGGGTGAAGGACTAATGTATATTTTGACCAATACTGTTTGTGATTACTGAAGGTTTTTTTTTTTCTAGCCTACTAGGTGAAAAGTAGCATCCCAGTGTGGTTTTCATTTATATTTCTCTTAATATAAGTGAAATTAGGCATTTTAAGAGCTATTTACATTTTTTTATCAACTCTGTTGAGATCTGTTTTTTATTTATTTCTTTATTGTGATCCTTCTTACAGATTTATAGAAGCTCTTTATATATACTATATACTAGAGAATTACCTCTTCGCCTGTAATAAGAGTTGTAAATATTTCTCCCCCTTTTTGTCATCTGTTATGTCTTTTCATTTGGTACTTTTGCCACATAGATTTTTGTCATTTTTATTTCACATCATTATTTGTTGAAAGAGTTGTCTATAGTTGCAAATTCTGATTTCTTATCTTACAATCTTCCTTCATCCATCTCAACAGCATTGTTCTTTACATAATTCTACTCAAACTGTTGTCTTCAATGTTGCCAATGATCTCTGTATTGCCAAATCCAAAGGTTATATTTTTCTGTTATGTTACTTGACCTCTTGGCAGTGTTTGGTATTATTATTATTTTTTATTTTATTTTATTTTTTAGAGGTTTTTGCTATAGGGCGCATGCACTTGCCAGACAGAGAGAGACAGAGAGACAGGAAGTGAGAAGTCACCCCCCAGGGGGGATGGCCACGCCGCAAACCCTTCTCCTCTATTATCCTCTCGGGATCTTGGGCACGCATACACACGTGCCCGGTGTGAGTTTTAAGCCACCGGGTCCGGGACGCGAACTGTGGTCTACTACTTGGGAGTCCAGCGACATAGCCATTACACTAACTGCTGGTCCCCAGTGTTTGGTATTAATGACCACCTCTTTGAAAGGCATTTGTGTTTTAACTTCAGTGACATCTCTGATTTTCCTCCTCATACTCCATTTAAAAAACAAATCAATTTCTTTGAACAATTCTTACCTAGTTGATGTCTAAATGTTATAGTGCCTTAGGATTTTGTCCTGGGAACTAATTTATTTTCTAACTCTGCATTTTTCATAAGTTATATGACTTAGTATCATAGCTTAGAATATAATATACAATACTGTGAGGCCTGAATCTGTCTTTAGTCCTACCTCTGCCTGTTATTCTTATATATTCTCCTGTCTGCTTTATGTATGTCTGATATTATATCAAATAGACATTTCAACTTCATGCCCAAACCAAAACTCTTTCCTTCCCCCCACCGATTGTTTGGCCTTCAATCTTCCCCATTAAGCAAACAGTACTTACCAGTTCCTCAAATAAAATAATCTAAATATTATTTCTAACTGCTGCTTTACCTCTTTTCAGTTCATTAGTAAGTCTTATAGATAGACAATATATACCAAATCCATCAATTCCTTTCTCCATTTCTCCATATCTATTATTCTAGATTATCTCTCAATTCAAATACTATAACAGCCTCCTAACAAGTTTGCTTTATTTTTTTTTTTTTCCCCTTGGGGAATGACCATGCCGCAGTCCCTTCTTTTCCATTCTCCTCTCAGGATTCTTTTTTTTTTGGAGACGTATTTTCGCTATAGGGCGCGTGCGCTCACCAGACAGACAGAGAGAGACATAGAGACAGAAAGCGAGAAATCACCCCCCCAGGGGGGCTGGTCACGCCGCAGTCCCTTCTCCTCCATTCTCCTCTCAGGATCTTGGGCATGCACGCACACGCGCCTGGTGTGAGTTTTAAGCCACCGGGTCCGGGACGCGAACCGTGGTCGACTACGTGGGAGTCTAGTGACATAGCCATTACGCTAACTGCTGGTTCCCTCCTCTCAGGATTCTTAATATGCATGTGCACACGCCAGGTATGAATTTAAGCTGCCAGGTCCAGGACTCAAATCATGGTCGACTATGTGGGAGTCCATTGATGTGACTGTTATGCCATCTGCTGGTCCCCAGGTCTGCTTTTAAAAATTTTTCTTTCTTTTTTTTTTTTTTTTTTTTTTTTTTTGGGTGTGTTTTTTTTTTTTTTTTTTTTTTTTTTTTTTTTTTAGAGGGTTTTTCTATAGGGCACATGCGCTTGCCAGACAGACAGAGAGAGACAGAAGGCGAGAAATCACCCCCCAGGGGGGATGGCCACACCGCAATCCCTTCTCCGTTCTCCTCTCGGGATCCTGGGCATGCATGCACACGCGCCCGGTGTGAGTTTCAAGCCACCGTGTCTGGGACACGAACCGCTATTGACTACATGGGAATCCAGCCATATAGCCATTATGCTAACTGCTGGTCCCAAAATTTTTCATTTTGTTCACCAGAGTGAGACAGAGATAGAGCATCCCTTCTCTTCCAGTCTCCTTTCTGGATTTTGGGCATGCATGCACATGCACCCTGGGTGATTTTCAAGCCACTGGGTCTGGGGATTGAGTCACAGTCAGCCATGTGGGAGTCCATTGATGTAACCCCCACACCATCTGCTGGCATAGTGATTTTTAATTTGCTGGGTCTGGGACTCAAACCATGGAATTGGCTATGTGAGATCTAGCTCCATAACCTCCACACCAACTGCAGACCCCAGGGCTCTGCTTTTCCTCCTGTCTTTCTCCTGGAATACCTCTGGCTTAGAAACCAAAATTATCTTTGAAACACTTAGATTATCTGGCTTTTATTTAAAACTCTATTAAAAACCTTCCCATAGCACTTTGAATGGAATCCAGAATTTTTATACTAGCTCAAGATGATCTGATTCCTGCTTATCCCTCTTTTTTTTTTTTTTTCCTTTCTTAAACTTGTTTTTTTTTTTTTAAGAGATTTTTGCTCTAGGGTGCGTGTACTCACCAGAAAGACAAAAAGGGAGAAATCACCCCCAAAGGGGGATGGTCATGCTGCAATCCCTTCTCCATTCTCCTCTTGGGATTTTGGGCATGCATACACATGTGCCTGGCGTGGGTTTCAAGCTGTGGGTCCGGGACTCGAACCGAGGTCAACTATATGGGCATCCAGTGACATAACTGTTATGCTGTCTGTTGGGCCCCTGCTTATCACTTTTAACATTGTTCATACCATTTTTCCCCATAGTACAGCAACTATATTGGTTTTCTTTCAGGTCTTCACATAAGCAAAACCTGTTAACCACTTCAGGATCTTTGCGCTAGTTATTCCTGATGTTTAGAATATTCTCTATTTCTGATACTCCCATGACTATGCCTTTTGCATTTAGTTAGACTAAATGTTATTTCAGGGACAGCATCCTAGACATTCAAATTATAAAGTACCAACCAGGTTGCATGAATCTAACTTACATTATATCGCTATCACATCTGGTATTTCCTTATGTATTTGTTTCTATGTTTGTTGTTGTCTGTCTTTCAAAGACTGTAATTTCCCTAAGAATAGAGACCTTGCCTATTTTATTTTATTTTATTTTTTAAATTATTTAATTTAATTTATTATTATTTTAAAAATTTCATCAGAGAGTAAAAAAGGGAAAGTGAAAAAGCAAGCTGCCAGATTTGGACTCGAACGGAGTTTGGCCATATGGGAGTCCAGCACCTTAACTACCACACCACCTGCTGGCTCTGCCTATTTTATTTTCTACTGTTATTTCCCCTACTCAGAATAATCTCTAACATAAAATAGTCATTCAAACAATTATTGACTATATAAATGCTTATATACATCTCAGTGAATGTATTTATATATTTTTTAATAATTCTCTTTTTTATTTTTTTAAATGTGCATTTAGAATAAGCACCTAAGATTTGGCTCACAGTTGGAGAGATATCTCTCTCTGTTCCTCTCTGGTCAAATTAAAATAAATAAATAAAAATAAATAAAGTTAAAATAATTTTAAAAAAAGATGTTATTGGTGGACAATTATCTTTGTTTTATTGCAGTTGGTTAGAAGCGAATTCTGAACATCTTGTGGAAAGAGATTATGAGTCATCTTGTAAAATATGGAGTGGAAATGAAATGCTCTTAAATTTACACAAAATGGGCATCACCACTGCTACTTTTCCCATTTTGCAGGTAAGGTATTTTTTTTTCCACCTATGAAATTCATTTACTGCTTTAGAAGTGAATAAATGCTGAGTAAATCTAGTGAATAATCAAGAATTTGATGTCATTGGTGAATTACGGTTGAAAAATAGCATACTTTTTTTAAAACAGAATTATTTTATTTAACTTTATCCATTTATTTATTTTAAAATTTTGACCAGAGAGGGACAGAGTGAGAGAGCGAGAGAGAGAAAGTGAGAAAGCAAGTTACCAGGTCCAGATTCAAGTCACAGTTGGCTATGTGGGGAGTCCACTGCCCTCAACTACCGTACTACCTGCTGGCCCAGCATCATTTTTTTTTTTTTTCCTTATAGAAACAGGACACATGACTCGCCAGAGAGAGAGAGAGAGAGAGAGAGAGAGAAAGAGAGAAAGCATCCCTCCAACACGGAGTGGTCACACCACAACCTTTTTCCTCTATTTCTCAAATTCTTCAGGATTTTTAGTTACACACACATAACACCCCTAGCATGTTTTTTAGTCCACTGGGGCCAGGATCTGTGCTGTGGTTGGTCACATAGGATCTGGTTCTCTCTGCATGGCACTATTGAAAGCAGGCCGAAATAGCATTATTTAGTTTAAAGAAAACAAATCTATGAAGGTATTAAGTTGCTTTGTTCAAAGCTAGAAGGAGCCAATATTTTTGTATTGTAAAATTTCATCATTTAAAATCAAAATTTTTGAAAATAAAAAGTGAAGAAATTGGGAACCAGCAGTTAGCGTAATGGCTATGTCTCTGGACTCCCACGTAGTCGACCGCGGTTCGCGTCCCGGACCCGGTGGCTTAAAACTCACGTTGGGCGCGTGTGCGTGCTTGCCCAAGATCCCGAGAGGAGAATGGAGGAGAAGGGATTGCGTTGTGACCATCCCCCCTGGGGGGGTGATTTCTCGCTTTCTGTCTTTATGTCTCTCTCTGTCTGTCTGGCGAGCGCACGCGCCCTACAGTGAAAATCTCTCCAAAAAAAAAAAAGTGAAGAAATTCATTTAATTCTTCCACGAGAAAGAGAGAGAGAGACAAACAACAAGCAGCCCCAACCAGAACTTCATGTCATGATTCATTCCCAGTCTCAGCTAGCCTTGTTCACAAGTATTCATGCATGTCCAGGATGCTCTGGGAGTTCCCAGGATGTGAACTCAGGACTTTTCCCATGTGCATCTAACTGTACAACTACTGCACTACTGCCCAGCTTCAACCCTTTATTTATTTAGTTATTTAGTTAGTAAGTGGTGAGAACACTTAAGGTCTATTCTCTTGGGGCCAGCAGGTTGCGCAGTGGTTAAGGCACTGGATTCCCACATAGCTGATTGCGGTTCAAGTTCTGGACTCGGCAGCTTGAAATTGAACACTGAGCACATGTGCGTGTGTGCCCAGAATCCCGAGAGGATAATGGAAGAGAAGGGATTGCAGCTTGGCCAGCCCCACGTGGGGGTCATTTCTTGCTTTCTGTCTCTCTCTCTAGGTCGCTCATGTGCCCTATAGCAATAATCTCTCTCTCTCAAAAAAATAAAAGATCTATTCTCTTAGTAAATTTCAAGTATACAGTACATTATCATTAACTATAATCACTGTGCTTAAACATTAGGCCTCCAGAACTTACTTATTTTATCACTAAGTTTGTACTCATTTCCTTAATTCCAAGTCCCTAGTTAGTCTCATTCTAATCTCTGTTTCTACTAGTATGACCTTTTGAGGTTAGAAATATAAGTGATAAGGAGCTAGAAAATGATGTGGTGGTTGGGTGCTGGACTCCCACATGGCCAACTACAGTTTGAATCCCTGACCTGGTGGCTTGCTTTCTCACTTTCTCTCTCTAAGCAAATGAGAAAATAATAATAATAAATTAAATAATTCTAAAAAATTTAAAGAACAAAATATAAGTGATAGCATGCAATATTTTCCATCCTCTCTCAAGCCTATTTGACTTAGCATAATGTCTTTCAGTTTCATCATATTGTAGCAAATGACAAGATTTTTGACACACACACAATCACACACATGAGTATATATATATATATATATATATACACACACACCTGTAAATGAATGTTGCATTTCTATTCATTACTTACTATACTCTCACTTTTCCCCAGTGAGGGGAATTAGAGCCCAAGGAGGTTTTTCTTGGCATTGAGCTGTATTTTCTTAGGGCAGGGGTGATATAGGAAATATGAAAATATTCCTGCCCACTTGGAGCTTTTGCTGCAACAGTGTGTTGGGACTTTGCTGAATCCTCAGGATCACAAAGTTACTTTAAGTCATGAGTGGTTGTCAAAATTGGTGCATTGTGGCAAGATGATAGTAGAAAACTCATATTTTGCTATCTTGCTGACATCAGTTCTCAGAGGGTTTTTTTTTTTAATTTTTAAATTTTTATGAATTTTGTCACAGGGTATGTGTACTTGCCACAGGGTATGTTCACTTGCCACAAAGAGACAAAGAAGGAAAGTGAGAAATCACCCTCCAGGAGATATGGCCATGCTGCTGTCCCTTCTCCATTCTCCTTAGGATTTTGGGCATGCACACACATGTGCACGCAGAGTGTTTTCCAAGCCACTGGGTCCGGGACTTCAACCGTGCTTTCAACCATGTAGGATCCAGCACCTGAACCACCATGCCACCTGCTGGCTCTTAGGTTTTTGAGGGACAAGCAGGTAGCATACTGGTTACATTGCTAGGCTCTCATGTTGTCGACTGTGATTTGAGTCTTAGACCGAGCGGCTTAAACCGGGCACATGTGCATACATGCCCAAAATCCTGAGAGGTAACTGGAGGAGAAGGGATTGTGGCTTGGCCATCCCCCCTGAGGGGTGATTTCTTGCTTTCTGTCTCTCCAATGATTGCACATGCCCTATAGCAAAAATTCCACCCTCCCCCCCATCTGTCTCTCTGTCTCTCCAATGATTGCACACGCCCTATAGCAAAAATTCCACCCTCCCCCCCCAAAAAAAGAAATTTTTGAACCTAAAAAGTTAAAAACTATTGCTAACATTGATCACCACAAGCATTCTGGGTATCTGATATATTAAAAAATATATATTAAATAGGCTATACTTAAACTTTTGAATTATTTTATTTAACTTTATTTATTATTATTATTTTCCCATTTGATCAGAGAGAGGGAAAGTGAGAAAACAAGCCAGCAGGTCTAGGATTTGAACTGTGGTTGGTTCAAATGAGGGAGTTCAACTGACTCTCATGAGGGAGTCCAGTGCCTTTAACCACTACGCCACCTGCCGGTACCTATACTTAAAATATTTATCCTGCATTTATAAAATACAATATGGTATTATAAGATTTTTTTCTATATCATGACATATTTTTATAGTTTTTTTGCATGTAACTCTTGCATATAGAAAGTTATTCATATCTACTCTACGAAGGATACATTGTGGGATAGTTACAAAGTGAAATACAATGTGACAATAAAAATTTTCTCCACAACTATATCGATGAATCTTTCAGAAATAATGCTGAGTAGAAGAATCTGGACACAAATAAATATGAACAGTATGATTCTATTTTTATGAAGTGTAGTAACAGATAAACCTAATTATGGTGATAGAAATTGAAATGCAGTCTTGCACCATGTAATGATTTTGGTCAATGACTAATAATAGATATGACAGTATAACCTGTTTTAATCTTACGGCACAATTTTTTCTATTAATTTTTAGTATTTTATTTAGTGGAGACTGATTTTTGCTCTTACAGATTTGTGTTATTTGACAGTATATTTGATTATTAAAATATATCTGGGGGTCAGCAGGTATTGTGGTGGTTAAGGCACTAGATTGCTACATGGCTGGCCATAGTTCAAGTCCCAGTCTCAGTGGCTTGAAAATCACTCTGAGCCACTCTGAGCACACATGTGGGCATGCCCAAAATTCTGAGGGGAGAATGGAGGAGAAGGGATACCCCTTGGAAAAAATCACTTTCCCTCTGTCTCTTTCTGTCTCTCTGCACCCTATGGGAAAAACCTTAAAATATAAGTGTGTGTGTGTGTGTGTGTGTGTGTGTGTGTGTGTGTGTAATTGTATAATCATTATTTTTTAATTGCCGGAGGGTACATGTGCTTGCCAGAGAGAGGCAGAGAGATGGAAAAAGATAGGGAGGAAGAAAGCAATCCCTATAGGAGAATGGTCATATCATAATTCCTTCTCTTCTGTTTCTCTATCCTGTTGGTATTTGGGGCATATAAACAGATGCCTTGTATGTTCAAGCCACTGGGACTAGGATTAGAATTATGGTTAATTCTGTGGGATCCAGCTCCCTTAGCCACTTGACTATATCTGTATTATTTATCTTAATTGTTTCCCATTTTATTTTTATTGAACACATCTTACTGACAAATATCAGTTGTCACCAATTCCTTTTATTGCTTTAATATTCAGATTTTTCTCTTTTTCCATGTAGCAAAGTATACTTTTATTTTCTTTTAATTTTGTCTTAATGTCCACATTTTCATCTATATTAAAACTTTTGAGTCATGTCAAAATGAACAAGCCAGTTAGCATACATTCTGTTATTAGCATGTATTTTCTTTTCTTAAATTTACTAGAAGATGTATGTGCTTGCCAGGGAGAGAGAGAGAAAGAGAGAGAAAGTGAGAAAACATCCCCCATGGGAGATGGTCACACTGCAATCCCTTCTCTTCTGTTTTTCCTTTCCGGATTTTTGGCACATATACACATTTGCTTTGGCTTGTGTTTCAAGCTACTGGGTCCAGTCTTGAACTGTGCAATCAGCCATGTGGGCTCCAGCTGCCTTAACACCCTCCCCCACCCCCACCCCTGGCCCTGTATTGTTTTTTGAGCCATTTTAATTGTGGTTTTCAGTTAGTTGTGCTGTTCTCAGCAGGAGACCTGAGAATAATTCAGGCATTTGAGGCAACATATCCACTCCGTTAAGCTCCTTGGAGAAACCAATGACTACATTCTTATTTAGCTCATTACTTCAGAAAGCCACTAAATATTGACTAGTTCCCCAAATACCTGAAGAAGTAATGAATCTTCTAAATATCTAACTTATTATTAAAGTGTATTTTTATTTTAAAAAATTTATTTTGATTTCTTTGATGAGTGAGAGAGACAGAGACACCACACCTTCTGCTGGGTCTCAACTCCACAATCTACCTTTGTATCAGCCAACCCCAGATCACAGGCATGTGTGTAATTGGTATACTTCAGGGAGGTGCCAGATATGAATCTGAAACCTCGCGTGGGCCAGCCTTGCAGAGAGCATTGTGCGTTACTTTTGTGCTACTATCCCGCCCTAAACTAAAGTGTCTTTGATTCTGAGGAGAGTTCCACTAATATGGAAATCCAAACTATATTATTAATAGTGTATGTTAATACTGATCCCCTAAAATTTCAATGCATATTTCATTTGGGATTCATTGTATTTTTAAGAAGTTTTATCTCTTCATCCCTTCCTTTTCCCTCCTCATAGTTAATATGGTAATTTTCTACAGGGACATTTTTCTGCTGTTCTTCAAAAAGAAGAAAAAGTCTCATCAATTCATAGTAAAGAAGAGGCAAGAGAAATACCTATCATTAGTGCCGCAACTCAAATAATGCTCAAAGGACTTTTTATGGTGCTCGACTATCTTTTTAGGCAAAATAGCAGGTATGTGAAGATATTTGGTCTGTAGTTTTTCCTTTTAAAAATATTAGCTCAGTTGAGGACTAGCATGTGTTTAATGCATACTACTTTTGGATCAGCAAATAGGAAAATTGAAAGCAGCTGTTATAGGTATTATGATGTATTTGCTTTTACTTATTTGCCTAGACTCAGATCAATTGAAACAGGTCTTTTTTAATTAATGAAAATGAATATCGAAATCAGTAAATAAATATGTTTAATTCATTAAATAAATAGTCCTCTAGCACTTAAACACTTTAATTTTCTTTTAAGTATAGTTTATATTTATTTCTACCAGTGCCAGAAAGCCTCTTTTCTCTATTGTATGAGTGATAGAAATTGAAAACCAACCACCTTCTTCTACCTTATCCCTTGTCAAGTTGTAGTACTATGTGGGTTCAATTTTATTTATTTATTTATTTTAAATTTTTGTCATAGGGCACCTGCATGCCAGAGAGAGAGAGAAAATGAAGAAATCACCCCCAGGGGGTGACCATATTGCAATTCCTTCTCCTACTTTGTCCTGTAAGGATTTTGCATACCCACACTCATGCACCTGGCATGACTTGCAAGCCTCTGGATCCAGAACTCAAACCATGGCTGGCCGTGTGGGAATACAGTACCTTAACCACCACACCATTTGCTGTCCCCAAGTTCAACATTTTTTAAAGTGTTTTTTTTTTTTTTTTTAAATGTATTAATGGGCCAATAGGTGGTATGGTGGTTAAGAATGCTGGACTCCCACATGGCCAACCATGGTTCGAGGCCTGGACCTGGAGGCTTGCTTTCTCACTTTCTCTCTCTCTTGCTCACTCTTGCTCTGTCCCTCTCGGATCAAATTAAAAATAAAATAAATAAATAAAGTTAAATAAAATAATTCTTTTTTTTTCTTTTTGCTATAGGGTGCATGCACTCACCAGAAAGAGAGAGACAGAAAGTGAGAAATCACCCCCTGGAGGATGGCCATACTGCAATCCCTTCTCCTCCATTCTCCTCTTGGGATCTTGGGGATCTTGGGGATCTTGGGCACGCACACCTGGTGTGAGTTTAAGTCACTAGGTCTGGGACTCGAACCACCGCTGACTATATGGGAATCCAGTGACGTAGCCATTATGTTATCTGCTGGTCCCAAATAAAATAATTCTTTAAAAAAATTGTAGTGGGACCAGCAGTTAGCGTAATGGCTATGTCGCTGGACTCCCATGTCGTCGACCGCGGTTCGGGTCCCAGACCGGGTGGCTTAAAACTCACGCCGGGCACGTGTGCGTGCATGCCCAAGATCCCGAGAGGAGAATGGAGGAGAAGGGACTGCAGCATGGCCATCGCCCCTGGGGGGTGATTTCTCACTTTCTATCTCTCTGTCTCTCTCTTGTCTGTCTGGCGAGCGCACGTGCCCTATTGTAAAAACCTCTCCCCTCCCCCCAAAAATTGTAGTAAAATATACATAGCAAGAGATACCATTTTAACTGCTTTTAAGTATAAAGTGCCATTAGGTATATTGACAATGTTGTGCAGTCATCACCATTATGTAGTTCCAGAAATTTTTCATCATTCTAAACAGAAATTCTGTATCCATGAAATAATATTGGGCTGTTGGAAAAGTCATGACCTATTTTTAAAAAATTATTTATTGGGAACCAGCAGTTAGCGTAATGGCTATGTCGCTGGACTCCCACGTAGTCGACCGCAGTTCGCGTCCCGGACCCGGTGGCTTAAAACTCACGCCGGGCGCGTGTGCGTGCGTGCCCAGGATCCCGAGAGGAGAATGGAGGAGGAGGGATTGCAGCGTGACCATCTCTCCTGGGGGGTGATTTCTCGCTTTCTGTCTCTAATGTCTCTCTCTGTCTGTCTGGCGAGCGCATGCGCCCTATAGTGAAAATCTCTCCAAAAAAAAAAAATTATTTATTTAATTTTATTCATTCATTTAATTTGACTGGTGGTGAGGTAGGCAGGTGGTGTGGGAAGTGAGAAAGCAAGCCACCAGATCCAGAATTTGAGCCATGGTCGGCCATGTAGGGGTGTCCAGCACCTCAACCATCACACTACCCTCTGGCCCCATGACCTAATTTTCTATGCAGAAATGTGTCATGGTTTTTCCAATGACCAATAATTCCCTAGACTATCTCCTCCCAGCATCTAGTAACTTTTATTCTACATTCATCTTCTTGGTATCTTATATAAGAGCAATCATATAATACTTGTCATTTTGTGTCTGGCTAATTTTACTTAGCATAATATTTATCAAGTTCATCCCTATGGCAGCATGTATCAGAACTTTTTTTATGGCTTAATAATATTCTATTGTGTGTGTGTACATGACATTTTAAATCTGTTTTTATATTTATGAATATTTGTAGGGTTGTTTTCATGTTTTTTTTTTTTTTTGGAGAGATGTTGGGTCCCTCTACAGATGTTGGGTCTCTGACTTTAACATCTTGTCTCTCTAAGAGTGCAATATTATAGTGGTAGAGAATATCACTTTTTATTTTGTTTAAGCCTAAGTGTTTAATAGACTCTTATTGAAAGAAGGTATAAACTAGATGGAATCATAGATATTTGGTGTAGTATCCTCATTAAAAGTAGATGAAGACCGACCTATTTTTTTTTAAACTCATATTTTAACTCATTTCTTCTATGAACTTTTTTGAAAAGAATTATTTATTTATTTATTTATTTATTTATTATCATTATTTTTCAATTTGACTAGAGAGAGATAGAGTGAGAGAGAGAAAGAAAAGGAGTAAGAAAACAAGCCAGCACATCAGGACTCGAACTGTGGTTGGCCATGCAGGAGTCCAGAGCCTTTGACCACTATGCCATCTGCTCGCCCCAAGACTTACCTATATTTTAAATGAACGTAAAATTTTATAATTATGTACTAGCATTTAAAAACTTCCTGTAGGGAGCAGCAGATGGAGTAATGGTTACATTGCTGGACTCTCACTTAGTTGACTACAGTTTGAGTCTCAGACCTAGTGTCTTAAAACTCAGGCTGGGCCCGTGAGTGTGCATGCCCAAAATCCCAAGAGGAGACTAGAGAAGAAGGGATTGCAGCATGGCCATACTCCTGGGAGTGATTTCTCTTTTTCTGTCTTGCTGTCTATCTGGTGAGAAAATGCCTCCTATAACAAAAATCTCTATTAAGAAAAATACTTCCTGTAAAAATGATCTGTTTTCCTATGTAAAAAAACCAAAAATAAAACCCTTTTATTTTCTTTAACCATAGTACTGGTTTCTGTTTGTAACCATTTGCGTAGTATAGAATACAAAGAGCTCTGGACCTGGAGGCCTGAGCTTTAACTCCGATTCTGCCATGATTTATATAATGTTTGAAAATCAAGCTGAGAAGTAGCTGGTAAGGAATAAATGATCAGATGAGAAGGAATAAATGATTCTCTGTAAGAATCAGTTGATTCTATGATTTAATGACTTACTTTATATCCAAATTGCTGAATTTAATTATGAGGAGAAGAATCTTATCTTTTAGTGGGAATATATCAGCATTCTCGATTTGTTTTATTTATTTATTTATTTTTTAACATTCAGTTTAATTTTTTAAATTATTTTATTCAATTTCATTTACTCAGTCATTCATTTATTTTAATTTGACCAGAGAGACACACACACACACAGAGAGAGAGAGAGGGGAAAGTGAGAAAGCAAGCCACCAGGTCTGGGACTTGAACCATGGTTGGCCATGTGGGAGTGTCCAGCGCCTTAACCACCACGCCACTTGCCGGTCCCCTCGATTGTTTCAATATAATCAGTTTTTATATTGTATGTAGCTAGGTCATTATGTTTTAATAATGTGTTACTACTAAATTAGTATTTTCTTTGCATCTAGATTTGCAGATGATTATAAAATTGCTATTCAGCAGACTTACTCCTGGATAAATCACACTGATATTTCAGATAAAAATTGGCTAATGGTTCTACCAAAAAATAAGAAACGTTCACGACACAAAACTGCAGTTCGTGTGCTAAACTTTTGGTGCTTAAATCCAGCTGTGGTAAGCTCATTGTGTTGTAAATGATAAATTTGCCTTTATGACTCAATACCAAATAAATGTGTTTCACTCTTTTAAAGATGAATTTATGTCTCTAACATTGTTTCTTTTTAGGCCTTTTCAGATATTAATGGCAAAGTTCGGACAATTGTTTTGACATCTGGTACGTTATCACCAATGAAATCCTTTTCATCAGAACTTGGTGTTACATTTACTATCCAACTGGAGGCTAATCATGTCATTAATAACTCACAGGTTAGTTTTTATTAAGAATTATTTTATTTAACTTTATTTATTTAGTTTTTAATTTGACTGGAGAAGGACAGAGTGAGATAGAGAGAAGGAACGTGAGAAAGCAAGCTGGAAAGGTTCTGGGACCTGAACCATGGTTGGCCGTGTGGGAGTCTAGCACCTCTAACCACCAACCCGCCGGCTGGCCCCTAGTTATTTTGTGTGTGTGTGTGTGTGTGTGTTTTTTTGTTTTTTTTTTTAGAGAGATTTTTGCTATAGGGCACGTGCACTCACTACAGAGACAGAGAGATACCGAGAGATAGAAAGTGAGAAATACTCCACAGGGGAATGACCAGACCACAATCCTTTTTCCTCCATTCTCCTCTTGGGATCTTAGGCACACATGCAGACACGCCCAGTGTGAGTTTTAAGCTGCTGGGTCTGGGACTCGAACCTCAGTCGACTCTGGGAGTTCAGTGACATAATCATTATGCCATCTCTTGGTCCCCAGGTTAGTTGTTTTTTGTTTTTTTTTTTTGTTTGTTTGTTTTTGTTTTTTTTAAAGGCTTTCCTTCTTTCTACCCCAGTATAATTCTGTATAAACAAATTAGAAGTTGGGAACCAGCGGTGAGCGTAATGGCTATGTTGCTGGACACCCACGTAGTCGACCACGGTTCAGGTCCCGGACCCAGTGGCTTAAAACTCACTCCAGGCGCGTGTGTGTGCGTGCCCAAGATCCTGAGAGGTGAATGGAGGAGAAGGGATTGCGGCGTGACCATCCCCCCTGGGGGGTGATTTCTCGCTTTCTGTCTCTATGTCTCTCTCTGTCTGTCTGGCAAGCGCACGCGCCCTATAGCGAAAACCTCTCCCAAAAAAAAGTAGTTATCCAAAGTGCCAGCAAACAAACTCTGATAGGAAATTCAACATTTCAGTTTCAGAATAAAAGAAAATTTGTTAGTTACTTAATAACCAAGAAATTTAATACTGATACAGTATACACAATATTTATATTCTCTATTTCCAAAATATTTCTTATATTTGTGTAATTTTATTTAAAAAATTTTTTTGCTAGAGGGCACATGGTCTCATCAGAGAGAGGAGAAGAGAAAATATCCTCTAAGAGGAATGATCACATTGCAATCCTTCTTCTCCATCTTTGCGCCCTTTGGGGATATTGGACATGCATCCAATATGTTTCTCATGCTGCTGGATCTGGGACTCAAATGGCTTGGCTTTCTATGTGGGATCTGGCTGTCTTTTTTTTTTTTGAGAGGTTTTTACTATAGGGCGTGTGCACTTGCCAGAGAGACAGAAAGCGAGAAATCACCTCCCAGGGGGGATAGCCACACTATAATCCCTTCTCCTCCATTCTCCTCTCGAGATCTTGGGCATGTGCACACATGCACCTGGCATGAGTTTAAGCCACCAGGTCTGGGACTTGAACCACGGTCAGCTACATGGGAATTCAGTGACATAGCCATTACGCCAACTGCTGGTCCCAAGGGATCTGGCTGTCTTAAACATGAGGCCATAATGTTGACCCTTAATTTTTTTTTCTTTTAAGTTTATCCCTTTTATTCTTGATAGATGATGGTGCCTGATCACATGCATGAGAGAGATGCATCCTTAACTCTGTCTGGTCATACCACAGTCCCCTTTTTCTATTCCTACAGCTGGTCAGAATCTTGGGCATGTGCACACATGCCTCATATAATTTATGTTGACCAGGCCAGGGATCCAGACTGTGGTCTACCACGTAGCTTTTAGCAAATGCAGTTCAGTATGCTATTGACTGTACCACCAGGCTGAGCTTGTTTTTATATTTGATGTATATGTTATGCCAAATAGTATACAGTTTTCACATCTCTAAAGTCTTTAAACAGGTTCCCTCCCTTTTTTTTTTTTTTTCTATTTTCTATGACTGACATTTTTGAAAATTAAGTCAACAGTGGTCCTGAGGAATGTTTTATAATCTGGATTTGTCTGATTGTTTACTAATAAGATTCAGGTTAAATAATTAGGCAAGAATACTATGTAGGTGACATTGTTGCTTCCCATTGTATGCTACAAGGAGACAAATAAGATCAGCTTGTCTTATCACAAGTTGATCATTTGGTTAAAGTGCTCTCTGTCAGATCTCATCTTGAAAAATGTACCTGCATCACGCACATCATTTCCAAGCATAAAACTATCATATTTTTCAGCAATCTGCAGTATTTGTATTATCTTTAGATTCCTAATCAAGTTTGTTCTTTCTCCTAATCAAATTAACCAGAATAGGTAAGATCTATGGATACAGAAGAAAGGCAGATTTCTAGCTATAAAATTTGATGGCTCTAATTTTCTGCGACTAAGGATCTTTGAGCACCATTGGATTTTTAAATTTATTTATTCATTTTATATATAATTTTTTTTTAATTGCCAAGGGGTGCTTGCATTTGCTAGAGAGTAAGCTCACACATTCATGCAAGAGAAAAAATATCCCCTTTAATTTGTCTGGTCATGCCACAGTCTTCTCACTTCCATTTCTCTATCCTGTCAGGATCTTGGGCATGCATACACATGTGCTGCCATGTCCTTTAATGTGCTGGGGCTAGGACTTGAACCATGGTCAACTGTGTATGACCCAGTTGCCTATATGCAGTGCTTAACTGCTGTGTTGCAAGGCTGGCCCAGCAATATAGTTTTGAAAGAATAATTCTTGTCATTACTGAGATTTACATATGTGGGCCAGCATATGACCTGGTGGAGAAGGGAGCTGGATCCCACAGGTCAGCCACATGGTTTGAGTCCTGAACTTGGTACCTTTAAAAACACACTGAGTGTGAATACATGTGTGCCTTGTATCCTAAGAGCAAGGGGTTGCTGTGTGACCTTTCCCCATGGCGAATGCTTTCTTCCTTCCTCTCTCTGTTTCTCTATTTCACTAATGAGTGCACAAACCCCCTTATAGGTATTTTTAAAAAAGGAAGATTTACCTATGGCAAGTCATACCAGTTTTCACCCTCAACATTTTAGAATTACCTAGTTCAGGCTATTCATACATAAATCTGCTATATAATTTCATTTGTTCGCTTAATCATCGAACAAAAGTTTGTTACATGCTTAATTTTGTAAAGTTATTGAGGAAACAGGGATAAGTACAACCATTTTTGCTTTCAAAGAACTTTCATTAGAAGAGAATTGAGTGATTTGCCTGAAGCATAACTTTTATAAAGTAAATATGTACACAATTAAAAGTAATAGAAAAAAGTCCCAACAATTAAAAAGTAAATTTTCACTGAAGTTTTTGCTTAATCTTCTTCCAAAAAAAGTACTAATTTTTCTACTTTGTTTTGGCATAAATCTAATAGTAATATATTTATTTTCTAGGTTTGGGTTGGTACCATTGGATCAGGCCCCAAGGGTCGGAATCTCTGTGCTACCTTCCAACATACTGAAACATTTGAGTTTCAGGATGAAGTGGGAGATCTTTTGTTATCTGTGTGCCAAACTGTGAGCCAAGGAATTTTGTGTTTCTTGCCATCTTACAAGGTAAAAGCATATTTATTGTTTCTTTTGCCTTTTAAAAAATTTAAATTGTAACAATTATAATGATAAGCTTTCTAGGGTCAGAAGCAACAAGATGATAATTAAGTTTTTCTAAATGTCTTGTATTGTTTTATTGATGTATTATGATACTGCTTGATCTGTCACTTTTACTTAAAAGTCTAAAAGAATAAAATTCTTTTATGAGTGTTACTTATATAAGAGAAATATTTATATGTATATGAGTTTTTAGTTTTTAATTTTTTCAGAGGTTTTTGCTGTAGGGCACGTGTGCTCACCAGAAAGACAGAGAAGAGAGACAGAAAGCGAGAAATCACCCCCCAGGGAGAATGGCCATGCCACAATCCCTTCTCCTCCATTCTTCTCTCAGGATCTTGGGCAGACACACACAGGCGCCTGGCATGAGTTTAAGCCATTGGGTCCAGAACTCAAACTGTGGTCTTGACCACATGGGAGTCCAGCGACATAGCCATTACTCCAACTGCTGGTCCCAATATGAGTTTTATTTTTAAAGACAACCTGGTATTTTCATAGTTAAAGAAAAAGGGAGCATTCTTTTTCACTTTCATAAATTATAGCTTTGAATATTTCATTAAAGTGAATATAAGTTAAACTGTTTTGCCTGTCATTTCGGTATATACACTCTGTCCAGAAGAGAGAATTTTTCTCGTTGGTTTTAGAGTCACTCTGACTTTTACTCATTTTTTTTTAAGTTAAATTGGAATTACATTGTGTATTTTGGTTCTCGTGGTGATAAAATAATTGAAACCATGTGTAATCGCCAATAGTAATATCACAGTTATCAAAATCTAAGCTAAATCCAATGTAGAAAAATGACATTCCCTCCTTTTTCCTATAGGAAGTTATATTCTAAGAACAGAAGCATTAATAAGTAATATTGGAGGCCAGCAGGTAGCATGGTGGTTAAGATGCTAGATCCTATATGGCCAACTCTGTGGTTTGAGTTCTGGACCTGAAGACCTAAAAAACATGGTGGTTGCATGTATATATGTGTCCAAAATTCCAAGAGGAGAATGGAGGAGAAAGGATTGTGGCATGGCCACCCCCTCGTTTGTGGGGGCTCGATTTCTCACTTTCCTTGTCTCCCTGCCTTTCTGTCTCTTTTGGTCTCTCTGCCGAGGGCACGCACTCTATAGCAAAAATTTTTTATAAATAAATAAATAAATAAAATAGATCTCAGAATAGGTAGATAACAAAATGGATTTTGAAAATGTAGATGAACTCTTAGGTTGTCACGAGAGTCATGACAAGTTTTTCTGTGCCTTTCTTTGCAAAACTGCATCATGACTTTCCCAGCAACCCAATATCTTCTGACTACAATAGAGGCATACTAGCTTTAAAGACCCAAAAGTTGAAAGAGAAAAGATTTTAAAAGATATTCCATGCAAATTGTAACCAAAAGAGAGGCGGGGTGGCATTACTAATATCAGACAAAATAGACTTAAAGTAAAAAATTGTTACAGGACACCAAGAAGAATATATTACAAATTGATAAAAGTGTAAATTCAAGAAGATATGAAAACTGTACCAAATAAAATTCCCAAAACAAATAAAGCAAATAATGACAGAACAGAAGGGAAAAAGAGTTTTATAATATCAATATTTGGAGACTTTAATATCTCATTTTTTATGATAACTAGAAAGGCAGACGGAAAATTACTAAGGAGACAGAGAACTTGAACAGTATTATAAACCAAATGGCCCTAACAGACATATATAGAATATTACCTTACATGGAGCAAGCAGGTGGTATGGTGGTTAAGGATACTGCACTCCCACATGGCTAACCACGGTTCGAGTCCTGGTGGCTTGCTCTCTCACTTTCTGTCTCTCTATCTTGGTCTGTCCCTCTCTGGTCAAATTAAAAAAATAAATAAGTAGGGCCAGCAGGTGGCATGGTGTTTGGGTCAGCTGGATTCTCACATGGCTGATCACAGTTTGAGTCCTGAACCTGACAGCTTGCTTTCTCACTTTCTTTCTCTTTCTGTGTCTCTCTCTGGTCAACTTTGAAAAAAAAGATAAAAGACAATAAAATAAAGTAATTCTTTTAAATAAATAAATAAATTAATTAAATTAAATTAAATAATTCTTTAAATAGAAAAAGAACGTTACTTAACCACAGGAGAATTACAATTTTCCACATGTATAACAGAACATTTTTCAGAACAGTCCTCATGTTGGTTAACAAAAAATGCCCTAATAAATTTAAAGAGACTAAAATGATACAAAGTATCTTTTTAAATCACAGCAGGCTAAAACTGGAATTTTATCATATAACATCAGGATAACAGAAAATTTCAAACATATGGAAAAATTAAGCAACATACTTTTAAATAACCAGTAGGTCAAAGAAAAAAATCACAAGTGATATTAGAAAATGCCTTGAGAAATATGAAAATGAAAACACAGGGTACCAAAACATATAAGAAGCAACAAAAGCAATGCTAAGGTAAATTTATAACTATAAAGACTTATATTAAAAAAGAAATCTCAGGGCCAGCAGGTGGCATAGTGGTTAAGAACCCAGAGGTTTGAAACTCATGCTGGGTGTGTGTGCCCAAAATCTCAAGAGAAGGAAGGAGAAAGGATTAGGGCATGACCATTCCTCCTGGGGGATGACTTCTCACTTTCTGTCTCTCTCTCCAGTGAGCGCATGTGCCCTGTAGTAAAAATCTCTCTCAAAAAAAAGGAAATCCCAAATTTATAATCCAATTTTGCACCTTAGAAACTAGAAAAAGAAAAGCAAACTAAACTATGATAAGGAACAAAAGAAGAGAAGATATACAATATAGAAAAGAGAGGAAATCAGGCCAGCCCTGTAGTATAGTGCTTAATAGTGCTTAAGAGGGACCAGCAGTTAGCGTAATGGCTATGTCGCTGGACTCCCACGTAGTTGACCGCGGTTCGAGTCCTGGTGGCTTAAACTCACGCCGGGTGCATGTGCATGCGTGCCCAAGATCCCAAGAGGAGAATGGAGGAGAACGGATTGCGGTGTGGCCATCCCCCCTAGGGGGTGAGTTCTCGCTTGCTGTCTCCCTGTCCTTCTCTGTTTGGTGATCGCACATGCTCTATAGCAAAAACTTCTCCAAAAAAAAAAAAAAAATAGTGCTTAAGAGAACCAGATCCTACATGGCTGACCATGATTTGAATCCTGGCCCCAGAAGTTGAAAAACACACTGAGTGCATGTACATGGATGGGTGTCCAGAATCCAACAGGATAAAGAAATGGAGGAGAACAGATTGTGGTGTCACCATGCCATATTGGGGAATCCTCTTTCCACCTCATCTTTTTCTGGTGAATGTGCATGCCCTGTGACAAAATAAATAAATAAAATAAATAAAATAAAATAAAATTGGGAGTAGTAGATGGCGTAGTGGTTAAGGTACTGGACTCCTAGTTGACCGTGATTCCAGTACTGGACCTTGCAG